TATGACGCAGGCAGATAGTGGGGGGGTGGAATTAGAAATATGCGCAAACTAAATAAAAAGACAGCAATTCCATTTACACACCTTTTCAAAAAAGAAAAATGGCCAAGAGACGCCTCGAATGGGGGTTAATCAGTCAGCTTACCGCATCCGTCCGGAGCGTCAGTCAAACGAATGCAGCAGCAGCAATGCGGGGGTCTCTGTGCACAAACTTATCTCGCGCCCCCTTTTGGTCATGCGCGTTCATGTGTGTTGGAGGAGGGGCTCTGTGAGGAAGTGGCAGATTTTCCCCGGTTTGACTGCAAATTCTCCAAATTATCTAACCCTTACCTTAAAGAACAATTCACACACACACAACACACACAACACACACACACCAAACACACACACAAACACACAACACAACAACACACACACACACAACACACACACACACACACACAACACACACACACACACACACACACACACACAACACACCACACACACACACACCACACAACACACACACACACACACACACACACAACCAGATGTGGGGGGTTGAGATAGCCGGGGTGTAAATGTTAATTAAGACACTCTCTGTGAGAGGAATGAAGTTAGGTGAGACTGTCTACCAGCCCCCTCCTAGCCTCTCCCCCCTTCCGGGCTATGACACAGGCAGATAGTGGGGGGTGGAATTAGGTAGAAATATGCGCAAATTAAATAAAAACAGCCATTAATTTTCACTCACCAAGACATCTAAAACATTATTGTCCTCTCTAGATTTGATTCAGGGTCTGTTTTTAAATGGGGTGTGCTGGCTAAGGATGTTTTCTTTTCAAGTTTTTGTGAAACTGTTAAAGAAGTATCTGTTTTTGCAAAGAGGTTATTTTCAAAAGATCTTATTTAGGTTTTAATAGTGATACCTAATGATATTCTCTTTTAGTTGTATGGATTTGTGAACTAATGTGTAATTACTTTTATTAACTATAAGAAAAGTCTCTCTGAAGACGGAAATAATAAAACAAATTAAAAACATGATATTGTCTTTTTAATCATTATTTTACACCACTGTAAGGAAACTCCATATGAGATGGTAATATCAGAACTCTGCTGTATCCATAAAAGAGAAGTTTTCTAAATGTGTTTTCTACTCCATTTCACTCCATGACGGCTCCAGGGTGGCTGATCAGAACAAAATAAAGGCTGTAAACTAGGGGTGTAACGGTATCCTTATTCGTCCCGTACAGGGGCGGATCTACCGGGGTGGCATGGGGTGGCAACTGCCACCCTAAACAATAGCCTTGCCACCCCAGCTGCCACCCCAGTTGGCATCTTTGTTTTGAAAGAAAAGTTGTGGCTCATCGGACATTTATGAGAGAAAGTCTCTAATGTCCGAGTGCAAGTGAATGCAGCACAAGATGCACGTCATGTAACCCCCTCCCCCGGTCCTGGCGCGAGAGTGGAAATATGATTGGTGGCGAATTCACTTGAACGGGGGAACGGCGCAAAACGAGAAGCCTTTCGGACCCAAGCACTGAAGGAATGAGGTTTGCGGTCTACACTGACAGAGAAGAGACAGTCAGTTTGGCTGTACTCAGCATTGAATCAAAACGCAATACAGCTGTTGATCTTAATAAGTTTGTGAGGCGTTTTGCTGAACAAAATAGTAATCGCCGCATTCAGCTGTAATAGACATGCCAACTTGATGCTCTGCTCACGGATGACTCGATGAGAATAACAAACTGTTAAGATGATGACCTTGTATGCGTGTATATATTTTTTTCTTTGAGGGGGTCTGCCCCCAAAAAACAGTTTTAAGTCCTGAGAAAGTAAAATAAGACGGTGTGTAAAACTACACTGCCCAGACAACAGAAAGTAACCACTTTGATTTAACTAGGCCAGTAGGTAAGGACCTTCCACTGGATCATAACTGCAGCGATGTTTTAGCTGAATACACGTTTTTTAACCCTAACTGATGCAGTTAGTCACTTCTTTAATGTTTGTTCTTTCTGATGTAAAGTCAAGGTTGTAACTGTATATCAATAATGATATAATTACTTGTTTTTCAAATTTGAAGGAGGGTGAGTAAGCATCTTGATGAACATTCATCATTAACTCCTCCAAAAAATATAGTTTATTCAATAATAAATGAATATGTGAATCATAACAGTTCTTCACTATATCTGTAAAGCGTCTTTGAGCACCTGTAAAAACGCTAACAAATTAAATCTATTATTATTATTATTATTATTTATTAACAGTGCAATCACTGTTAATAAATAATAATAATAATAGATTTAATTTGTTCCTAACAGCTGATAGGAATAATATGATTGTTAATAGTATCATATTCATTCAGACAAACATCGATGAGACAGTTAATTAATGTACTTATTGCAGCAGTCTGCATAGATTTGGTACCCCTGCTGGTCTAAGAGTGAAACAAACTCATTCAGTTATTGTTCAGTTAAAATTCATTAAATTACGTCTGCCACCTTATAAGGCTTTACTGATGTGCCACAATAATATCACCTATGTGATTGAGTTAAAATATTAATATTGTGGCTTTCCAAGTTAACATTGATTGTAGGGGTGTAACGGTTCACAGACATTTCGGTTCGGTACGTACCTCGGTTTTTAGGTCACAGTTCGGTTCGTTACGTTTTCGGTAAAGCAGAACAAATTATCACAAAACATTAAAAAAAAAAGTTTAATTAGTGTTAAACTGTGACTAATGGATTCAAATAAATACAAAATATAGTAAAATAAACATTAAGGTGCAGCATTTCAATGAACTGAAATAATCTGTATTTGGACTGTACTAGTACCTAAGCAGCCAGCTTGACATTAGGACTTGCTTGTCATTGTATTTCCATGTTGTTTAAAGAAAGATGAACTTGTCCACATTGCTTGCTGAAATGGCAGATCTGCTGGCACTAACAATGTCTCCTGCTGTGGAGAACACCCTCTCGCTAGGGACAGTGGCAGCAGATAAAGGATATTTGGCGTTTGTAATAGCTTTGGCTCGGTCTGAACTTTTTGCGAGTGGTGGAGGCTTAAATGCTAGTGGGAGTTGGGTTTGCACTTCAGTCTTTTTTCTTTTGGTACCGGTGATATTCACATTCCGGTGATGCCTTTTCAAATGAGTGTGATGTATTGCCAGCCGCGTAACCAATGTTAGTTGAACAATGCCGACAAACAGCTTTGGTTCGGTCCACCTGTCTTTGTCCGTCATCCTTGTACGTAACTGCGAAACCAAAATGTTCCCAAACCGGAGACTTCAAAGATGCGGGAGGATTTTCAGCTCAACTTTATCTGCGTTCGCCATTTCGACAGTTCCTCAAATTACTGACTACATTTGAACGCATCCCTGTGACCAGCTCTCATAGCATGCCTCTCGTCCAATGAAATGACTTGGTCGCTCTATGATATATACCTGAGATTACTTCCAGAAAGTTGTTCATGTTCTCAATTTTTTACGTTTAACGCTATATTCGTTCGGTACACACGTGTACCGAACCGAAGGGCCCGTACAGAATAATTTCAGTACTGGTACGTGTACCGTTACACCCATAATTGATTGATATGATTGCGATTTAAATCAACATATACTTCTGTCAGGGGATGCCACCCCTCAAAATCTCCTGCCACCCTCTTGCCACCCCATGAATATTTGTCTAGATCCGCCCCTGGTCCCGTACCGTCACGGTTCGGACGTCACGGTTCGGCACACGCAGTCACACGACGAATACGCCTTTTTTTTATGAGTGGGAAAAAAGTGTCATTCAGGGCAGTATCCACTACATTATATATAATCCAGGGGGCGGTATTGCGCCTAAAAGCTGTTTGCCAGCCGCCCTTAAACAACAAATGAAGAACAAGAAGAAACACAACAACAAAACGAACAAAATACAAGAAGAAGAAAAGTTAGTATGGTGATTTCAGATAACACAGGAGCTAGAACCCACCTGCTTCTTTTAAATCAGCTGTGTGGGAACATTTCGGGTTCCCTGTGGACTACAATAACGATGGAGTGTACGAGTGGTGGATTGGACGAGGACGGTGTGTCGCCGTTGTTCTACAGTGGTGCGGTATGCTAATGGTAACACACGCCAAACATGCTAAATCATATCAGAAGGCATCACCCAGATTGGCCAATCACCGGAGCCCGGCCAAAGACAACAGCAGTTCAACAGCTGATCCCCGCTGTTTTTATAAACCAATAGACATGAAAGCCGTGAGACCAAAATAAATAACGGAAGCTTTTGGCATATGTTTTTCAACGACTTTGCGCTCTTGAAACACTTTCTTATTATTTATGATGTCATATTTTCAAGACATTCTTTTAGTTTTACAGCTTGATGAAACCTTTTGTTTGACATCAGCCATTATAGATAATATGGCCATCTGAGTGTACTGTGTATGGTTTGCTTTTAACTGTTTAATACAGTTCATTATTCAAAAAAGAGTTATTTATTTTTAAACTGAAACTTGCACTACTGTTCAATCATAAATAACAACAAACCTGGAATTATGCATTTGGGACTTTTTTTTGCTTTTTCTTGTTGTACCGAACCGTGACCTCCAAACCGAGGTACGAACCTAACCGTGACTTCTGTGAACCGTTACACCCCTACTGTAAACACTTAAAATACTCCATCAACAGTCTGAAGGTAAATTTAAATCATTTCTGGGGGGGCAGAAAGACGCATAATTACCTGGATAAAAGGACTCATCGATTGGTCAGTTTCTTTTTGAGGGGTGACAAGGCTCTGTTATTTGATGGTCTATATAAGATGACAACATATTTACAGTTAGAGAAAAACAAGGGATGAATTACCCTGCCATTCCAGCTCAGCGCTTTATTGACCTGGACGCCATCACAAGCCAGTACTTATTTTATAATATCATGTATTTATTAAATGTTGTTTATATATATATATATATATATATATATATATATATATATAGTATATTATTAGATACTTAAAAAACATTATGTCCTTCTGTTTGCAGTAGAGATCCTGTGTGCTGGAAATCCTAATGTGTGGGGTCATGGGGTTATTGAAATACTAGGTGAGTTTCTTTTTACTTCTTTTTAAACATGTTTTTAATTAGAAAAGTATAGAGCAATATGGTGTGGATTATAATCAAATCTTTCTGTGTCTCTCAGCTCAGGATACTCTGAGTCAGCTAAGGCCAATAGTATTGGAATGAATATGCTCTGTACTTGGAGCCTACCTTAATTCACCCCCTGTGGAAAGTGAGTATATTTAAACTGATTGTATTTTTATTTTGAAATCAAATAAGGTTTTTATGTGCAAAGTATCCCGAATAACGGTTTTTACTCTTTTGTTTTTAAAGGTGACAAAGTCTATAGCACAGACAGAGGATCTGTGTATCAAAACTTTTTCCCCGAGGAGTTCATACACAACCCACCCTTTGAGGTAACTGCAGACCCCTGGGGGCCAGCCGCGCCTCCCCGGGACTCAGATAACCAGACAGGACACCCCCCTTTTCAACGCTACCCCCGCAGCAGCAGCAGCAGCAGCAGCCTATATCTGAAACCTTCCTACAAATTCCACCAGAACTGCAGGCCAATTTTGACACTTGCAGTGCCTATCTGGACGACTTTGAGTTGCATCCTGTTCAAGACACACTCCTAACGAGTCAGACAGACTCACCCCCTAATCCTCGGGTCGAGGGTGAATCATCAGCACAGAATATTCGAGAGATCCAAGCCGGTATATCACTCGTCACAGACCCCCTCCTGACGAGATATCACCCCGGTAAATTAGTTTTATGGTTATTTTACAAGATGTTTGATAAATGAATAGTGTTAAATGTGTAATCATGTGTTTTTTCAAAATACTTATCCTTCTTTTTCTCTATCTTTTTTCTGTATAGATCAGTCAAGCTATTATCAAGGTGACCAACACTGCTGCTACTGCCATCTTTATGGACACACCCACTGAGGGTCTCATGTAAAATGATGCCGATGTAACCGACCGGTATGTTTCTTCAGCTGTGACAAATGTATTTCTGATTTTTGTTTCATAAACGGTCAAACATGGATGATTTAGCAGATAGAGAATTTTCTTTTCTTCAGTCTATAAACGACATAAATGAACTAAGCAGTGATGAGGAATTCGTGTATGGAGATATGTCATTTCCTCAGTGTTCGGACAATATCAATGAGTTAAACGACGAAGAACTTCCAATCTCATCACAAACAAACTCAAGCCATCCCCCCACCTTAGATAGTGCTTTGGAATGGGTATTGGGATACTACCAAAGCGCCAGGTCTCGGGCTTTTAAATCAGCTCGCAGACGGAGTAAGCCATCTGAATGGTGTAAATAGAATAGCTTCAACCATTACAGAAGCACCAGTTTCCAGCGTGCAAAGTGACTCAGAATCACTAGTTTGCTCCATGCAAAGTAGCGGACATGTTGATCAGAATGACACCCCGAATGCTGCTGAATCACCGGGCCCCCTGTCACAGCATGGAGGAGGCACTAACCGAAATGCTACACCAAGTGTTTTATCTCGACCTGTATTCCATAACACAGAACTGCGTCAGTCTCTAATCCTACCCCCTCATAATAACGACGAAGCAGACTTTACATCCTATTATGGGGTTCTGATGAACAATGTACAGGATATGGTAAATTATGCTTTTTCACAGGCAGAGAGGGAAGATATTGTTCAGATTGAACTCCGGGGAGAGCAGCTTCAAGCTAATGTGTCCGCCATTTTGAATGCTAATGATGATAATCTAGCTGATTTTGAGGAGGCCCTATTCAATGCTGTACAGTCAAATTTGGAGGTAATGGCAGACAGTAACCTCGAGTTAGTAGTGCAAATTGTACAATCCCCCCGTGGCGGTACTAAACGATTGGCTAGTAAAATGTTGGACAATGAGATAGTTAAAAAGAAGAGGCGTTTTCTGTACGTGGTACAGAATCCGTCCAACCAGCTGTGTTTTGCTATTAATTTAGCACTGTTGTTACACGACAACCTCACTGATAATGAAAGTGTTGAACGCGGTAAAGAAATTCAGAGGATGGTGGGTTTGACAGATCAGACAGCTGTGACATTCAGCGACATTGTTAAATTCGAAGACAGCTTAAAATGCAAGATTGTGGTATTTTTCAGAGGCGATGAAGATCGTACTCACTGTAAATTCCAGACAGAGGGTCCCAAACGAGACAAAACTGTGTTTTTGTTTCTCTTCAAAAACCACTACTATGGGATTAAAAACTTGAAGGGGTTTTTAGGCAAAAGTACATAGACTCACTGTCTTATCTCTCTATGCGTTTAGCAGCAATGCCAAAAGCTTTGGGATTTGAAGATAAAATCAAGGGATACTTCCCACACAGTTTCAGCTCTAAGGCTAATCTGAGTTATATCGGACCTTACCCCCCAGCACACTGTTATGGGATCGAACGCATGACAACTGATGAAAAAAGTGACTTTTTCACCTGGTATGAGACGGTACGCACGGGTACTTTTGACTTTCAAAAGCAGGCACAGCTTTACTGTAAAAACGATGTGGACATTCTTGCCCAGGGAGCCACTTTATTTCAGAAAGGGTTTCTCGCAGAGACAGGAGTTGAACCTTTTAGTCGTGCGACCATAGCTTCTGCGTGTATGAAAGTTTTTACCACCAACTTTCTATCACCCAAAACCTTGGCAATTCCCCCACCCGATGACTATCGCTATGAAAACAAGACGTACTCTGACGCAGGTGTTCAGTGGCTAGAGTGGATAGCCCAAACAGAAGGTATATTTATTCAACATGCGTTGAACGAAGGAGAAAAACGAGTGGGACGTTTTGTCGTGGATGGTTTCGCCGAAGTAGCCGGGGGCAAGATTGTCTGGGAATTTCTTGGTTGCTTCTATCACGGGTGTCCATCTTGTTACAAGGGCCATGAGAAAAACCCCTTGACAGGTGGCACATTTGAGCAGCTCCATGCTGCTAGTGAGGAAAAGCTGCATGAGCTACAGTCTATTCACGGGGCCAAAGTGATCGTTATGCGTGAGCATACATGGGTTGAGATGAAAAAATCCAACCAAGATTTACAGGCTTTCCTCAGGGAATACAAAGCGCCAGAGCCATTGACCCCCCGCGATGCTCTATACGGAGGGAGGACATGTGCTGTAAAGCTGAGGCACACGACATCGGCAGATGAATTGGTTCATTATTGTGACTTCACTTCACTCTACCCTTTTGTAAACTGTACAGGCTTATATCCCCTTGGACACCCCCAGCTCATATTCCGAGATTTCAAAGACCCTCACAGTTATTTTGGATTAATCAGAGCCACAGTGGACCCCCCCAGGGGTCTTTACTTTCCTGTCCTGCCCCACCGAACTGCGGGGGGTAAGCTAGTGTTCACCCTATGCCGTACATGCGCTGAGTTTAACAACCAACAGGGGCCCTGCATGCACAGCAAAGAGGAAAGAGCATTAACAGGAGTTTGGGTGACCACAGAATTCACCAAAGCCCTGGACATGGGCTACAAGATGACTCAGATCACAGAGGTGTGGCATTTTGAGAAGAAAAGTGACAGCATTTTTGTAGACTATATACACACATTTTTGAAGGGTAAACAAGAAGCATCAGGCTACCCTTCAGAGGCCACAGATGATGAGAGCAGACAAAAGTATGTGGCAGACTATCATGCTAAGCAGGGTATCTTGCTGGATGCAGTTAAAATCAAATCAAATCCAGCCAAAAGACAAGTGGCAAAACTATGTCTCAACAGTTTCTGGGGTAAATTTGCCCAGAGAAGCAATCTGACTCAGACTAAGATTGTGACCAAAACAGAAGAATTTCTTAACCTCTTGTTTTCAGCTAAACATAAGGTTAAGTATTTCTCATTCCTCAACGACAGAACGGCTCTTGTTCAGTGGTGCTACGGTGAAAAATGCTACTCTCCCCCCAACAAGGTAGATAACATATTCATTGCAGCATTTACCACTGCGTATGCCAGGCTGAAACTGTACAGTGAATTGGAGAAATTACAGCACAGAGTCTTCTACTATGACACAGACAGTATCATATATGTGACGAGACCGGGTGAGACTCCACTGCCCATGGGGGTTTATCTGGGGGATCTGACAGACGAACTGGGGGGCGACACGATTGCAGAGTTTGTTTCAGCAGGCCCTAAAAGTTATGCCTATCAGACCAAAAATCAGAAAAAGGTGGTGATGCGTGTGAAAGGGATTACACAAACGCACGAATGTTGTGAACGAGTGAACTTTGACAGTCTGACAGATCTGGTGGAAGGCTACGTTCAAAACTCTGAGAGGGGGAGGTGTCTTCAGGCCCCACAACACAACATTGCACAGAGTAAAAAGGGGTTCGTTTTGAGAAATGTGTCATTCACCAAAAAGTTCCGAGTTGTGTTTGATAAGAGACGTCTGCTAGACGGAGGAAATACTTTGCCTTTTGGGTATTGAGACAAAATGTTTTCACCCCGTCAAATTGATTTTGAGCCCCGACTACGAGTTCCTTTTTCTTGTTTAGTCGTGGGCCCCAGTGGGTGCGGGAAAACTTTTTTTGTCAAGAATGTATTGCAAAATTGTATTCATGTAATGGATGTACAGCCTCAAAATATTGTGTGGATTTATACTTCTTTCCAGCCCATGTATGCTGAACTGCAGGAAAATAATAAAAATATAAAGTTCATCAAAGATTTGCCTGAATCATTTCAAGATGAATCTCTATTTCCTCCTGATCAAAGTCATTTGATTATATTGGACGATGTTATATTTCAGGCCTCGGAGCATCCTGAAGTAGTCAGACTTTTCACCCGATACCGTCATCACAGAAATATGAGTGTTATCATGCTTACCCAAAATGTTTTTCATCAGGGGAAAAACAGTCGTACCATTAGTTTGAATACTAATTACATGGTCTTGTTTAAAAACCCCAGAGACAGATTACAGATGAACATACTTGCTCAACAAATACACCCGGGTAATAAATCATTTTGCCTACAAAGTTTTGAAGACGCTACAACGGAACCTCACGGTTATTTAATCGTAGACATGACCCCCAGCTGTCCAGACATCTACAGACTTAGATCGGGAGCACTACCTAATCAGTGGCCAGTTGTTTATGTACCAAAAACGAAAATTTGAAACAGTATGTCGGCCCGTTTAAAAAGAAACATGCCTCTGCTGAAGGCTTTGTGTAACGCAAAGGCATCGAGGCGCAAGGATATTCTCAAGAACTGCTCCACGGATTTTCTTCAATCACTCTGTGAGCTGTCTCTAAATCTTTTAAAGGGTAACATTCCACTATCAGGCGCTCAGTATAAGAAGCTCAAGAAACAAAAGAACATTTTCAAACTCTTGGCCGATAAAAAGACCAACTTAAAAACTAAATTCACGGCCTTAAGAAAACAATCTGGAGGTTTTCTTTTACCGCTGCTTGGTGCTGTGATCCCCATATTAGGACAACTTCTAGGAGGGCTCACTCGATCATGAGTCAAAATATGTTTTTGTTATCACCTCACCAGTTTAATCAGCTCAATCAGACTGGTGTAACTACCCCCCATAGTAAGGAAACATGAGAAGCACTGCCGAAGATGTTCTGGATGAAAAAATGAGAGCAGTGTTAAACGAAACAGGATTACCCCCTTATGAAAAAATAAGAAAATACAACACCTTGCTACAGAGATATCTCACCTTACTCAAACAAGACGGGAAAGAGGAACGCCATATTACTTTAACTCTACCCGAAGACAGCGGGTTGGTAAAAGGAGAAGAAAAGGATGGCGCGTCCGATGATAAAATAAAGAATGAGGTACTTCATAATATTCCTGCGCGCAGCCGTAAGAATGCCGAGCACATTATGAGTAAATTAATCACTAGTACAGCTGGATGGACACCCGCGGGGGGAATTTGTAGAAAAAGGGACAGCTGTAAAAGGATCACACATGTTAGATTTATTTAAACATTTATCCTGTTCGTATAAATCAAATGCCCGGGAACCTAAAGGCTGGCGGGGTTTTTTAAATAGTCTGAATGAGCTCAACATTCCTTTATCAGCTTTTCAA